GCTAACATCTGGTGTCTGACCCAGGCTCAGATTGTGGTTTGAGTTTGTATGGTCCTACCTGGTGGTCCGGACAGGTAGTCGTCCAGTCTGGTCAGGGAGCCGGACTTCTTCCTCTCCTGCAGCCTCTGTCTCACCTGCTCCTGGACTCTGCGGACTCTGGCCTCAGGGTCCAGACTGAGACCGTCGGAGGGGAGGACATAAGTGGTGCTGGAGGAGTTTGGCTGCAGAGCAGAGAAAAGGCAGCTGTTGTCCAACATAGGTGCACTCATGTCCACAGCAGGAGACAGAGAAGAAGTGAAAAGTGAAAAGTGAAAGAAAAAGAGAAGAAAACAAAGACTAAATTCCACAGGTCGGCAGAAATGCTGCTGCAGCTGCTGAGGCTTCACTCTCTCTGCCTCTGAGTGTGAGTGTGTGTGTGTGTGTGTGTGTGGTGTGTAAATGCAGGAGGGGCTACAGGATTACAGAACAGCCAATCACAGGTCACCTGTTGTCCAGACCACTCTCAGCCACAACAAGGTCCAGAGACCAAATCAGTGACTCTACGTTTGAGCAGCAGTCGTAGAGACTCACCGCTGTCTCCGTCACCGTGTTCAAACAGGTCAGGTTGTGATCGGAATCCTGGTTTGGATTAACCTCAGTGGCGCAAAGTGACCACAGGAGGCAGCATTAGTGCCAGTGTCCGTGTGAGCCAGCGTTAAAAGATTCCATAGTTTTACCCTCTGCATGATCAATAGTCAAAAGAAAATCCCATAATTTACACTTAATCTGACCCCTTCATTCAATGCTAATTTAGCTCATTAGCAAAACAGGATAATAAACAGGGTTTAAAGGCAGCCTCTATTTCTAGGATCCGTTGTAACAGCAGGGGGCGCTTACAGCCGTCTACAGACTAACTCTGTGTTAGTGCTTTATATCAGTCTTTCCCAAACAGGGGATACGAAGACACCTAAAGGTACCTGGGAGGATTGCAGGGATATATGCCAGATTATAATGGAGTCCCAAAGTGAAGGCTTCTATTGGTAGATGTATTAATATATTTATATATTAAAGTTATTTCATATTTCTATTATATGATGTATATTTTTTGTCTTAAATTTGAGTTAAAATAAAAAATGTATCCAGTAGAGGGCACCTTTGATTTTCTGTGTTTTGTAGGAGATTGGACTTCACATTGTTTTTAACTGACATAATTAGATATAAACTAGATGTTGAATGTGAAGAAACATTTAGAAGCATTAGTTAGGGAGTGTTAACATGACCACATTACTACGACCAATCATCTGAGTCGTCTCTCTGAAAGTAGTTCAGCTCAGCTAAAATTTCAGAAAACAAACGTATGACATCACTGTGAAACCCTCCCAAAGGTCACTGAGGTCACAGTGGGGGGAACAGCAGAAACACAGGTTTCCATAGATACACAAGTGCAGTAGGTGAACACTGTGGATAACTGCAGCAGTTAAAACCCCCAGAGTCGGGGAAGGGGGAGGGGGGTTTGAGTAGTAGATTATGTGTAAAGGACAGCAGAAAAGACTGGACCATGGGAAATCTGGACTCACAGCTGGTTCTTGGTCCACTGGCTCTTCGTCTTCCGTCTCTGTCTCCGCATTTTGTACAAAAATGACCTCAAATTTGGAGTTGAAGTTCAGCTCTGAACCCTGAGGTGGTCAGTGTCAGTCTGCTCTCAGTCCAGTAACGGAGGCGTGGACTGTGGAGAGGTTTGAGACAGTGATGGACAACAACATGACCCAGGACAACAGCACTCCTGTACAGTGTGGGAAGAAGGAAAGAAAAGACTAGGGATAGTTAATAACAAACCCTTTAAATGACGTCCTGTTATCTGACGCTGCTCTCACATTTGTTTGACTTTGTGGAAACACAAACCAGTCTGAAGACGGCTCCGAACTGCACGTCCAAGTTCCACTGATGTGTGTGTGTATTACTGTATGTCCGTGTCTGTGTAGTGCTTATAAGTGAATGTATATATCACTGGGGAGTACTGGTGAAGCTATACTAATAAGGGACAATGTTTAAGAAAAATCACAGCGGGGACATTTTGTATGTCCGCCCTGTGTAAGGGGGGAGGTTCAAGCTTTAGTTTGGAGGATTCAATGAGCCTTAGGGTTAGATTAGAGTTAGGGTGAGGTTTAGGATTAGGTATATATTTGCAACAGTTAGATTAAGGTTAGGGCTTGGAAATGCATTATGTCGATGTGAAGTGTTCACAAAAGACATACCAGAACTGTGTGTGTGAGAACTAAAGAGACCCAGTATAATGGACATGACCTAATGGTGTCATGTGTTTGTGGATTTGTTTGTTCTTGATGCTGAGCGAAAGTTTTTGTGAGTTTTTGCTTCTCGTGAAATTCACATAGACACAATATTAGATCTGCTTTGTGTCTGTTTGTCTTTGTACCATTGTCTCAGTTTGTGAATCTCTGCTGTGTGTTAGAAAAACAGAAGAAGAGGAGGGGGGAAACTCTGGAATGTGGCAATAATGTTCAGGGAGGAGAAACTTTGAACGGAAAATAGTGATTTGTCTGAAACAGGTCACATGACCAATCTGATGAGTGTCAGTGTGGGTGTGGGTGCATGTACACATACACACATACACACTGAACACTCTTGACTTCATACACATAGGAATGTGTGCAGAGACTGAAGAGTGAAAAGTATATTTCAGTCAGAGCTTTAGTTTTGTCTTTCTTTTTTATTTAAAGGTAAGAAATAAACAAAGTAAAAAATGTTTCTCAAACTCGTGTTTTAAACTTTCTCATTTTCCTTTTTGTTTGGTTTAATTACAGATTATTTTGTATAGTGACTGTGAAATTACACCTCCAACCTGACGTTTGGATGTTTAAAAAGCATGTTATTTGGTTGTGTGGTCACATGTGAGCTAAGTGTGCTGTGAGCGCCCCCTGTAGTAAGAACATCACAAGGTTACTGAACAACAGACAAACAGATTTGAAAACACATTCAGTGGGCAGTTAAAAAAAATAAAACAGGAGGAAACTTTTGATTCTTGTTTGGGGATCACGAGCTACTGATCCACTGCTGCCTCGAGTGGTGGGTTTGTGTCATCACACTAAATCTCAACAGACTTTCAAACAAGACAGACATTTTTGAAGGATGTGATGCGACTGCTTTGCCTTATCTTATCCTGCTATCCTGTACATACAGACTGTGTGTGTGTTTTTTGTATTCCTCTGTTTAATACTGGAAGGATTTTTTTTGTGTGTTGTTGCCATAGTAATAAAACATTGTGTTGTTTTAAGATAAAGAGCAGCTCACACACAGGAGAGAGTTTTAATTAAAAATTAATAAATAAAAACACAACGCTAACCCTCCGACTGAACTGTACTTCACCTGATCCACTGGTAGAAACCTTCAGTGTTTGATGAGTCAGTGGTGGTCCACATGTCATGCAGTCCACATGTCAGGTCCACATAACCCACCTTCTCACCAGGACTCATGGAATCTAACAACGTTCTATTCAGGCATTCAGACACTGAGGAGCAAAAATGCAAGAATTTTCCAGCAGTCAATTAAAACTGAAGATGCCTCTCACTCACACACACACACACACACACACAGACACAGACACACACACACGCACAAACAGACTCTTGACACCTCGATGTCACTGATTTGGATCAGTGACTGAGGACTTACACAGACATGCAGACTCTTGGTTCCATCAGCAGGGACCAGATAGAAACAGTTCTGGGGAGAATTTCCAGTAAAACTTTTTTTCTTTTTAGAGCCTGCCTCATTTTTTTACACATCAAAAGTTCCAGGATTCAAACTCCTGTCCTGAGGTCTACCTTCAAAGCCTCAGGTCTGGCGTTTCCAAGCAGAGTCTGGTTATTATCCAGACACTGTGTGTGTGTGTGTGTGTGTGTGTGTTGGAGTTCACACAAGTCCAGTACTAACCCTGCCAAACATCAATCACAAACTGGCATCCAGAAAATCATGTGCAGAGATAAAGAAGCAGCTTACAGTCTGTTATATAAAAGCAAGGTGGGGGGCGTGGGGAGGGTCATGTGACCCTGGGCCCTACCTCCCAAACACAGAGCAGCCATTTAAAACAAGCAGTGAGCAGGGAGATTTGTGAGAGTCTCGTAAAGAGGCTGTAAAACTCAGACAAAGCAATGAACCGGGGCTCAGAGGCTGGAATGGAAAGTGCTGAGTCATGATTCTGTTCACGATGACGGACAAAGCAGTGGCGTGCACAAGTCTGTGGTGACCAACGGTTGCCTGGTGACACTACGAGGCCATGGTGTTTACCACCATCTCCTCAAAAACACCACAGCTTTAGAATACTGAACAGGTTCTCAACAGAACTGACCGAGATAAACAAGGATCTGAATGTAGACTGGAATATCTGAAATCAGAGATCTCAGAATATAAGATCTGAGAAGATCAGAGAGGAAAAAACTGCGTCCAAAAGAAGAAAGTCCACAGATCGTCCAACGTTGGTGAAGATCTAAGAGGAAACATAAGCAATTATAAAAATAAAATGTCACTACAGTGTTCCAACATTTAATTAAATCTGAGAAGATCTGACAGGATCTATATAGATATCATGAAATTTGAAGTTACCTTTAAAAACAATCTTGGGGCAGAGGTCCGAGGGTCCGACAAACAACAGAGATGAACAAGAACAGAAAATAATCTGACAGGATTTCAATTTTAGATTGATATGAAATCAACTAAGAAGTCTTACGAAGTCTTTACGAATAAATCTTCACTTGAATCTCAGATAAACTCAACTAAACCACAGCTGCCCTTCCTTTTCCTCTGGTACCCTCTAGTGGTTGAAAGTAGTAGTAGTTTCACTAGCTCCTCACACCCCACTTTAACCACAGTAAAAATGCCTTTTTTAAATAATAAAAAGATTAAGGGACGTGTTGGAGCAGGAAGTCAGAATAGTGAGTGATAAAAAATTGTAGCTTTGCTGATACTTCGAACATTAACCTAATAAAAAAGACAAGACACTGAGGTTGGGTTTTATTTGTAAAAGACATTTAATCCCTTTTATACTTGGGCAAACCAATGTCTAGAGGAGCAGAGAATCGGAGCTGCAGGTGGCAGCACTGAGCCACTTTGTAAGGCAGCAAATGGGGCCAAATTGGAGCAAAAACACTGCGTCGACGCTAAATGAAATTTCGTCCGACAGCTGCGACTTTTCTCAACAATTAAATGATTTGTGGGCGACGGTGGAGTTTGTCTGGGGTCACTGCCATCACCTGCAGCGCCACCTTCTCAGCTAAAGACTCGTACCAGACAAAGATACAACGATACAAAGAGAAAAGAGCAAAAAACAAGGCAAATATCGACTTTTTTTTACAGCCAACATTACTTTCATTAGTACGATACGTCAAAGCCGTAAATGTTACCACACATTTAACTGTTTCTCAGTTTACGACAAAGGTTATTTAGCACGGGCTAACAAACGCTGCGTGAACAAACAGAAGCTCTGCATGAACAAGTTTTACAGCCAACGTAGTAGAAAAAAATGAAGGCAACAGCGCCCACTGGTGGAAACCATCTAAACTGACTGAACGCTGCTGGAAAAAAAAACAAATATTAACAACGCTGCTAATTTTCTACATCACTGATTTATAAAACTGGGATATATGTTTTGTTATGGTCGAGGGAACGGTAGGTCGAGTGTCACAGTCCAGTTCTCAGGAACCAGGTCCAAGTCAGAAAAGAGTTTCAGCTGATCCAAACTGAGTTCTCTGGGTTAAGCTCAGAGTCACGGAACAGGAAGTACAAGCGCTTAAGGGTTCTGAGTCAAAGTTGCAGGATTTCATGTTCAGGCCCAAGTCATCAAAAATACTTTGAATCAAATCAAGCCAAATCCCATTGGTCTAGGTAAGAGTCCCAGTACTAGAGGAGGAAGTGCAAGTCAAGTCCTCAGGGTCTCAAGTCCAAGTCACTGGGTTAAATCTGTAAGTTTTCACACTGTAGTCCAAGTCATGGGTCATTAGTCCACAAGTCCTGGACTTCATTACTACAAATATTGTACAAAACACAGTCAGCATTGAAAGACTGCCCCCATGTGTTAGATCTTCAAGCCACCAGGCATTTAAAAAGTAATGTAAGTCTAATATGAGTCTAAACTTTTAATTGGAACGTTTTAAGCCGATGTTCCCGATTCAGCCAGCAGGGACTCGAGACCTCATGTGGACGACGACAAGCGTGTTTGTTTTCTTCACCCTGTTGTCACAGAATGAACACTGGCTTTTATCTGTTTTCTCCAACACTGCAGTTTAGGTTAGATAAACCAGGAGTTATAACAGGAAAGGGGGCGGAGCTTAGTCTATTAATGTCCATGCTCATGCAGTCATAAAGCACTGTTAATATTTTTATATATATATATTTATATACAGTTTCATTCATACATAACAGTAAAACAAAAAGAGGGCATGGATAATGGAGGCTAAAGAGCATGTTTGTGGGCAGTAAACGGACGATGAATCCTGGGAGCAGAAATTTACTAAGTTTAAAATGGCACAGCTCCAAATTCCTGGTGACCTAAAGCCACTTCCTGTCAGCTGATATAGCACGTGATGCACGCATAACATCACAAATAATCACCTGATAGTTAGGAGAGAATAGTTCCAGTGTGAACAGAAGGGGGCAGTAAATGCAAGGTTAGTTTTTTAACTTTTATAAATGTGTTTTTTTAAGAACAAAAAAAGAAAACTAAAAAATTGTAGCGTTCACTGTGATGAATTGAAAACAGAAAACGACCAAAAGTAAAACAGCAAACATTAAGTGTGACCTGCTGTGAGAGCGCCCCCTTTTGGCAAAACTTAGATTTAGTGTTTTATCACACTCTCAGACAGAAATGTGACTAAAAAAAAATTTAAGTTTCTGATGACTAACTCTCCTGCACCAAAGTCCAGAGAGAAAATTAGCATTTTTAGTTGATAGTAAAAAAAATCTGCTGCTCACTGCTGCCTCGAGTGTTCAGGAGGTTAATCCGACAGCAGGTTCCTGAACACTGAAATTACAACACCATGTTAAACAGACTGAGGCAGAGGCTGAATTGAACCTCTGGATCACAAGCTAAAATCGCTCATTTTCTCTATGGACTTTGGTGCGGAAAAAGTATCTTTCAGATGGCAAAAGAATTTTCTGTCATAAAACAGTGAACACATTCCTGGTGTCGCCCCAAAGCCAATGAAAGCCAGGCCATGTTTCAGGTGAGTTGTAGCAGTAGGGGGCGCTCACAGAGTAATCATTCAGCTCAGTACTTCAGACTGACAGTTTAAAAAAAAAAAAACCTGAAGTACCTGTCAGGTTCCAGCAGGGAGCTGCACTGTAAACTTTAGGAACCTCTGCTCAGGATCCCAGCACCAGACCGGTGTGGAACTGACAGAAGAACACGGGTCAAAAATGCTCCACAGCAACTGTGACTAACAAAAAATATATATTTCTATTTTGATCATCTTCAGACTTTGATGAAAAGGCTCCAAAGAAGACTTTGTGGTTTGGACTTCTTCAGGAGCTGATTAAATCCAGCAAGCAGTAAATATGTCAGGAAGTGATGTTGAGAAAAGAAAAGACAGAGTTGGAGACAAGACGGAGATGTCCTCCTTCCTTCATTAGCCCATCTGCTGGCACCCGTCCTTCCTTCTGTTTCTCTGTGGTTTTTAGTACACAGGGCTGTTCCGGATCCCACAGCACAACACCATGCTGAAGATCATCTCAAAGATCTGACAGAGGGGGCGCAAATGAGCACAAGAGCTCATCAATACTTCATTTTAGAAATTTTCCCTCCACTGCTGTTTAATTGACCTACTTCATATCTTGTACTTATACATTATTTTTTAATTTTGTTCAACAGAAGGACTGCATCTGTTCTCCTTCTGACTCCCACCAGACTCATTGATTGTTACCAAAGATATAATTCTCACAACAATCAACAAAAGCACACAACCTTTTTGGGCATCGATCTAAATAGAAATGATGAGAGGATATATTTAAAATTAAAATGTAACATTGTTCTGCTGTTCAGTGATGTCGAATCTTCTGGCTGAGTTTTTGATGCATGTGTGTGTCAAGTAATTAAACTGTGATGGTCCTGCTTTAATCTAATGAAATGTATCTTATAATTTAAATGTATGTTTTGTTGTCTCACCATAATAACTGCAACCACCAGGGCGGCGATACCGATCAGATAAATCTTATCTGAGAACAGCTCTTGGATCCTCTGGTGGCAGCTCTGCAGAATCAAAACACTCAATCAGGTGTTAGCACTCAATCATCACTAAATAACATGGCCATAATAATAATAAACAATAATATGAATAATCTCAGAACTTTAACAAAACCAACTTTTACTGGTCAGTAATCCCAGCCACCTTGTGATTAATCATAACTAATATGATTAAATATTTGATTTAGTTGACAGCTCTGGTTTCTGTTTGACAAAGTTCAGTTCTGTTCAGTAACAAACACACTCACCACTTGTAGCAGGTCTTTATTGGGGCAGAGCTCGGTGATGCCCATGCTGTCTGTGATGCGGGTCACGATGGACGTGCCCACACCTTTGCCACAGCAGCTCAGCTGAGACAACAACAACAAAATCAGGGGTTCAGTGTCAGACAAGCATTTTGTTTGATTACAAGGCTGCTAGTTGAAGACCTAAACAGGTGTGAACAAACAGTACTCAGTACTGCTTATGTGCCTTTGTTCAGTAGAATTTGGCTGTTAACCAGTCCATGCATCCAGACATCCAATTAAAAAGGTTCTGTATGCTTCTGCTCTTGCCACAAGAGGGCAGTGTGAAACGAGGAACTAAACAGCTGCAGCCACATAATGTAATTTCAGCAGATTTTGGCTGAGGTTCAATATCATATAGCATTACATGACAGAAGGAGGGAGAAAAGTTTAGACAGTGCTGGGAATAAAACTGGATTTTAACAAATATGAAAAAAAGATGAAAAAACTATGAAAGAAAAACTACAGGACATCAACAACATTTCTGTCATGTAACACACACTGTAAGACAATGTTAAGAGACACAGTTGTCCTGTACTTAAAAAAAAAAAAAATCAGTACCGTCTCATGGAAGACCTTGAGCACCGTGGCAGCGGCCTGCTCCTTGCCCTTGTCAGTGGTCACGCTCTGGGTGATTCCTTTGTCGTAAACAGAGTCGTAGAAGTTGATCATCTCGGTTGACACCTGAACAAAAACAGTTCCTGTGATTTCATAGTCACACAGGTAACTGGGCTGACTGCAACAGCAGAGGGGGTGCACAGCATGGTCAGCTGGGTCTGTAGCCATGTTCAAATTCAACAGCTACACTACTGTGTTCTGCATTCACAGGACGGCGTAAATGTCAGCATCAGGAACAGATTTTAGAAACAAACTGTTTTTATTTATCTGGTGGTCTCAGACGACAGGAGGGAGTGAGGGGGTTGTGATAGGAGACGCTGATTCCCTGATGTAGTCCTCAGACCATGTCTACCACAGAAGCCTGCTGGATTCTAATGCATCAATTACCAGAAGTCAGGGGTCACGGTTGGTCAGCAGAAGTTTTAAAGCCTTGTTTTACACAGGTTTCATTAACACACACCCCCACAAACAAACAAGAAAATACTTCTAGAAAACATGCCTTTTCTTTTTTTTTTTTGAGACTACTCGTCTCGTCTTGTTTTGTTTTTTTATTGTTACCTTGTCTTTGTTCATGTAGCCCCAGATTCCAGCAGCAACCTCAGCAGCGAACAGGATCACCAGGCAGGCAAAGAACTGTGGGTAAAATTGATAAATAATAATTTAACCAGACTACAGATGACCAGCAAGTGGTGATCCGAGCTAAAGAAAACTGTCCCACTGTCTACTGTTGTGTGTATATAACGGAGCGGTTTGTGAGTGTGACTCACAGTTCCCAGCAGACACTGGGACTCCTGGATGGCACCGTAACAGCCGAGGAAACCAACGACCATCATGACTGCGCCGACGGCGATAAGGATGTGGACGCCTGAAAAGATAGGACGGGACACGGGTGGTTATAAATAAATGAATGTTCAACACCTGTGTGATGAAAACACTGGAGTTTGTAATTTTTACTCTCTCCATGCTGAAGGGAAAAGAGTGACTTCAGCTCTTAGGGAGCAGCTTGCTCTCTGCTGCCTCCTGTGGATAGATTGGTGTTGTGCATATTCTACTAAAAAACAGCTTCATCTTAAAAGCTGTCCTGGTAAAAAAAAAAGCATCCAATATTATAACTTAGAAGCCGTTGTCCAACTTTTGGTGTTTACATTCCTCTTCTTATGAGGGGTGTGGCCATGAATGTGAACACTAATATCTCACATTTCTGAGCCTTTTATCTGCCTGTAAATACACTGCTGAGTGTCGGTGTCAGTGCTAGTGCTTAGAGGAACATTAGCCCAGTGTAAACACTCAGCTGCACTCTCATCATGTGACCAAAATGAATGGAAACCACAGGGACGGAAAAAAACAACAGAGCATGGCAGCTCACACATCGATGTACAAGTACTCTGAAGTACTCAAGTTGTACTTTAACAAGTTTGAGTTTCTTTATAGGATTGTGGCTACATTTCTGTAAATTGATTTGTTCAAGATGCCGTCCCTGACACACAGGAAAACATGTATATATTTATTTATCAGCCCTGGGACTGAGGACAACAGGCAGCTGGTTCCACTGAGAGCTGCTGGATCTGTGATGTCATCATTGTCCAAGAGGTCTGGGTTTACACCAAGAGACCACCGACACCCAGACAGTTCAGCTGCAGCACATCTACAAAAACTGGGCTGCGGACAAGGAGGGGCCGGACACAGTAAACTCTGATTCCTGATGATAACCAAATCTAACTTTATGACAGGTGTTTCTCCATCTTCACTGCAACTCCAAGTCCCACCTCCAGAGGGCTCCTGCCCCCACTCCAGGGCAGTCACACCTCATCTCCTAGATAAGGTTGGACTGGTTTTATAACATCAACATTGTCCCATTCTGGTTTTAAGTGTTTGTTTTTCTTTCATCTCAAGAATTTAAACATCCAAACGTTGGACACAGAGTCCAAAACGTACCAAAGCTGCGGTACCTTGTGGTGTTATGACAGTACCGATGGATTAGAAAGTACCCAAAGACTGCAACAAAGAAGAAGAATCATGACAGTAACCTCTCTCCCTCCCCCCTCCCTTTTATCTCTGCGTCATCTCTGCTGCTACTCTGCCCAGACATAATCTGATTCCAGACCACTAACTGGTCCAGTCCCTCCCCCCCCCCCCCCCCCCCATCTAGTTCCTCACCACAGAGACACTCAGTCAGAGCCACACAACACACACTCAGACTAATTTATAAATTGACATGTTGGCGGCGGACCAAGACGGCAAGTGCTCCTCCAGTCTCAGCTAATGCTGTTTGGAAATCTCTGCCTCTTCACCACCGCCCAGCTCTCTGTACATTTTATTCATTCAACATTATGCTCTCAATAATTCCATTTAATTAAATTTATCCTCTTGTCCATCATGAACTATCTATCAGAGCTCCTGCAGCCACTATGTCCATTCTAAGGAGGCGCTATTGCACAAACCTACTCCTGTGTTCAAGCTTTTTTTTATCATCAGCCCAAACTGATGTCATTAATAGTCCTGCTGTCGAACACAGTGATTCCAGCCACTGGTCTCTGTAGAACTGTTCTTTCTAGAAGGGAAACAGTCACTCACACCAAAGTCCACAGACTAAACTATGAAATTCTAATGACAGCACAAAGCAGTAGTTATTTAAATCACATTTTATCTTGGCTCAGTCGGGGAGAACTGATTAAGACCTGCCCACAATGAAAACTGAGTAATTCAGTTACTTTGGCCACTCAAGCACTTTTTCATTATTGATCCTTTCGGAAAATTTGTTTTTTTCCTCCTGGCTGTAACCACTTCATTTAGACCAAAGTCTGGTCTGGATCATTGTCAAATCCTTGTCCTTGTCTGGATCCTTACATAGCTACAGTGCGAATTGTTTTTATTTTTTATTTTGTTTTCTTCTCGTCTACGAGCTATAATTTTATTCACTTTATTCCTCGCTAGAAATGGAAATACTTTAGTGAAATAGTCACTTGTAAATACTGTGTCTAACCTGCTGTTAATGTGATTACCATGTGTCAATCTTTTGATTCCAGTCCACAAGCTGCCAAGTTACCACTGAGGTGGTCTGAGCATGTGGTCCCCCCACACCACTGCCTGGGTGCTTAAAGCTGCCACCTGTTTACTTTGGTGATGGGTTAAAAGCAAAGGTCACATTTCGTTGTGTGTGCAGTGGTGTGCTGTGTCACTATCACAAATAATTGACTTTCACTTTCACTTTCCTGCTGCTGTAACAACTGAACCCCCCCGGTGTGGGATGAATAAAGTCTTATCTTGCCAGATTTGTTCTATTTTTTTAGAGAAACCTTTTTTAACACACTTGACACTAGATATTTTTGGGTGGTAATTTTTTTTTATTGATGAGGTGGTTTAGATATATTAGAAATCAAATGTGCAAAAACTGTAAAGAAAGGTGACCTGAGAATGACTCCAGCGCCCCCTGTGATCCCTGACAGGATGTGGATAGTGATCTCATTAGTCAGTTGTCATGAAGGCTCTCAACACAGGTGGAGCTTCCATCAAACAGATGAAGATAATGTAACAATGAACCTACACATGTTTAGGCCAAATGAGGTTCATTACCGACAATTGTTTATTGTATCAAGACTTCCTCTGAGTCACTTCCTGCTGCTACCAATATTGGTAAATCCTGGTACGACGAAACCTGGTCACTTTCTTCTGTGGCCAAAATAATCCCACATAATAATGCACTGTTTGAGGGAATAACGGCTACTGTGGGTATAGGTGGCGCTATCAAAGATCAAATGTTTTTATGGTTTACAAAGGCAAGTAATATGAGCTACAGTTTTTACTAAAACAATAAAAGCATCGGTCGAGAGTCAAGTTACAGGGTTAGATCATGTCACAGGTTTGCCCCTCCCCTGTCCACTCCCCCCCAGGTTTGAGGATTCTAACCTCGCGTAGAGGACTGTTCATAGTAAATTAAGTTCTTTCAGGGGGAGAGATTCACCAACGGGTGATGCTGATCTGATTGGCCCAGATTAGCAGACAGTTGTATGATGTCCCACAACTACATGGAGTTACACCATGTACTTCTGTCTGATCTGAGTCAGGAACCGATTCCTCTGTCAGTTTTAATCATCAACTCATGTCTATCAGATCAGTTCACAGCTGCAGACCTTCACACATCAAACATCACAGATAACAGTCACTGAATGTTAGTCAAACTTTAAACATCGGTATCAAAGACAGTTCTGGTCAGAAAGTCCTGACACTTTTTTTCTGTTGTTTATAGCAATAAACGGGAGAAATCAGGTTGGAGAACATGATACTGAAAAGTTCCTGAAGCAGCGGCGTAGGAAAAAAGGAGGGAGAGGAGAGAGAGAGAACAGAGGGGGAGAAAAAAGGCTGGAGGAAGAAGGGAGAAGTGAGACAGGGAATGGAACACTAACCACGACCAGATGTGGACGAAATGGAGGAGCGGGAGAGGGAAGGACGCACAGAGGCAGGGAGAGGAAAACTCTGGAGGAGGGAGGGAGGGGTGTGGCCTGTGAAAAAAAGGGAGTAATAGGAGGGGAAATGGGAGGGGGATGGGCGGCTGCTGAGGAATTTTTTCCGGTACTGATTTGGGTTTTCTACTCTTTTAGGAACAAGAGAAAGACTTTGTTTCATAGACCCGATGCAGTAACGGAGGCCGTTTGAAAGTCCCCCAGTAAAACCCAGCTGTGCACACCCACAAAGACAGACACACACAAACATCTTTGCATTTCTGTCTGTCAGAGACCACAAGGATCCACCCCCCACCACCCCC